TAGGATTGCTGGTAGAATGATAGTTCTGTTTTAAGTTATTTGAGAAATTTCCAAACTGCTTTCCACAGTGGCTGAACTAATGTGCAGTGTAGAAGTGTCCTTTTCTCTGCAGCCTCACCAGGGTCTGTTGTTGTTCGACTTTGGATTAATAGCCATTCTGACTGGTGTGAAATGGCATCTTGTTGTGGTTTTGATTTGCATTTCTGTGATGATTAGTGTATTAGTCTGTTCTCACACTACTATAAAGAAATACCTGAAACTGGTGATTTATAAAGAAGGGAAGTTTAATTGGCTCACAGTTCTGTAGGCCGTACAGGAAGAATGGCTGGGGAGGCCTTAGGAAACTTTCAGTCATGGTGGAAGGGAAGCAGGCATGTCTTCTGTGGTTGGATCAGGAGGAAGAGGGAGCAGGAGGAGGGGCTACACACTTTTAAACAACCAGGTCTTCTGAGAACTCACCATCATGAGAAGAGTGAGGAAGAAACCTGCCCCCATGATCCAATCACCTCCCTCCAGGCCAGTCCCCCACTGGGATTACAATTTCATGTGAGATTTGAGTGGGGACAGAAATCCAAACCGTATCGTTCAGTAGTGATCTTGAGCAGTTCTTCATATGTTTCTTGGCCATTTGTATGTCTTCTTTTGAGAAGTTGTTCATGTCTTCTGTTCGTTTTATAATGGGGTTGTTTTCGGGTTGTTCAGTTGTTGACTTTCTTTATAGATTCTGGATATTAGATCTTTGTCTGATACATAGCTTGCAAATTTTTTCTCCTATTCTGTAGGTTGTCTGTTTACGCTGTTGATAATTTCTTTTGCTGTGCAAAAGCTCTTTAGTTTAATTAGGTCCCACTCATCAGTTTGTGGGTTTTGTTGCATTGCTTTTGAGAACTTAGTCATAAATTCTTTCCCAAAGCCCATGTAGGAAACACCCAGAATGGTTAATTTTTATATATGGTGAAGGGTAGGAGTCCAGTTTCATTCTTCTGCATATGGCTAGCTGGCAACCCAGCACCAGTTATTGAATAGGAAGTCCTTTCCCCATTGCGAATTTTTGTCAAGTTTGTCAAAGATCAGATGGCTATATGTGTGCAGCTTTATTTCTGGATCTCTATTCAATACCATACATTTCTAGTCTTTAAGTTGATTTTGTCTTTAGTAAGCCTTTGCTTACATTTGTTCTTAAGATCCTGCTCTAAATAAAGATGTATGAACAAAGAGCTGACAGTGGTCGTAGCACTGAGGTCCCAGCTCTCACCAGGAAATGCCAGAAAGTGGCTTTGGAGGAAAAGGATTTGGAGTTGAATCCAACTTGACCTTTCTGTGACCTTGAACAATTCACTTAACTTCTCTAAGTTTCAGAGGAGTAAATAAAGTTTATAATATATCAAAAAATTGATAGGATTAAGTGAGATAATGTTTAGATAATATCTAATGTAAAGCCTGACTTACTGTGGGCACTGAATAAATTGTAACTTGTGGCCATTCTTGTTTTAGAGGAAGAGAGAAGGAGCCTTATTGGATCGATTCCTTGGTCCTTTGTGTTACTAAAAGCAGACAAATTTTTTGGAAAGCCCAGCTTTATCTTTTATTTATTAGTTTGAATGAACTTGGACAAGTTAGTTTTCTGAATCTCATTTTTTCAAATGAAACTTAATTCAATATAATTCCTTCTCTTAGGGGATTTAATTTATTTATTGCAGACAGGGTCTCAATGTGTCACATAGGCTGGAGTGCAATGGTGTGATCATAGTTCATCATATCCTCAAACTACTTGGCTCAAGCAATCCCCTTGCCTCAGCCATGACTACAGGCATGTGCCATTGTGCCTGGCTAATTAAAAAAAAAACGATTGTAGAAACAGGGTCTCACTACATTGCCCAGGCTGGTCTTGAACTCCTGGCAGTCCTCATGCTTCAACCTCCCAAATCGCTAGGGTCCAAGTGTGAGCCATGGCTCCCAGCCTTTCTTAGAGGATTTAAAGAGAGAATAGATATCATACTGCCTGACACAAGAACATAGGTTTTTTTTCAGATGGTGTTTTTTGCTCTGGCACATCTCAGCTCATTGCAACCTTCACCTCCTGGGTTCAAGTGATTCTCCTGCCTCAGCCTTCTGAGTAGCTGGTATTACAGGCGCCCGCCACCACACCTGGCTAATTTTTGTATTTTTAGTAGAGACACATTTCACAATGTTGGCCAGGCTGGTCTTGAGCTCCTGACCTCATGATCCACCCACCTTGGCCTCCCAAAGTGCTGGGATTACAGGGGTGAGCCACTGTGCGTGGCAAGAACATAATTTAATAGGGTGACTGACCAATTAATCATAACATTGTAAGTGCTGGGTTGTTAAAGTTAGTGCTAGAATAGGCACTCCTGCTTTCCTACCAGTGGGAACACTTGTGAAACTTGCAGATTTTCTTTCTTTTCATGTATTTTTTAAAATTTCTCCCTTACTTTTCTTATTTTAAAAAAATTCCATTTGTGTGTGAAGCTGTAGGAGAACAGATGCCTTCTACCTACACAGGTTTGAATCATTCCCCTGGCACTTGCTGTGAGTTTGTGTGTTATCTTCAATAATGGTCCTCAGCTGCACTGAGCACTCAGATTTGTCAGTTCATTCAGTCATTGATCACATATTTATCGAGCACCCCCTGAGGTCCTCACATTTTCTCGATTGCTTTCCTTGACAGTATTCATTGTGAAAATCCTTAATTCTTGTATCTCTTGTATAGGGAGTACAGATTCATACCGTGTTCAATACACTAGGGACTGCTCTGCAGAAATTTCTATCAGCCTCTCCCAACCTGGGCGTCCTTGTCTCTTCCTTGCCCCTGTCAAAGTTTAAAGGACTTACCTGATGTCGACGTCCTGACGTCCTGGACATCCAGCAGTGTTGCAGCTGTGTCTGTGTTACTTCTGGCTCTGCAACAGATGTGGGTGGAGAAGCTCCTGCCGTGTAATGTTGACTTCCAGATGGTGGGCGTGGGGAAAAAGAAGGTGTGACGACAGGAGGGGAGACCTCAGAAAGTGGGTGACAGGAGGTAGCAGACAGGTAGTGGGCAAAGGAAGGAAATGATGGGTGGCAGAGGGAGGAATCATAAGGAAGAGATTTGTGACATGTCTTATAAGAGAAATGGACTAGAATTTATAAATAGCAAAATAAATGTCACTATATTTATTTCAAAAACCATACAATGTTAAGAAGTTTACCATCAGTTATGTATGTCCACATAAATAAGTAAAATATGATTTTTAGTAGCTGGTAATTAAAGTTTGTTGCTATTGTATGATTCTAGAAAAGGTTTAATTACACATTCATAGTATATATGCTCATGAACTGGAAATTTTAAATTAAGAAATTAAATTGATGTTTTTGATTTGTCGTATTTAACTCCTTTTCAACTTTAGGTTTAGAGATTGTAATGTGCCCAAGAATACTTTGTAGTTTGTTGTTAGTAAAACTGTGTGTGAAAATTAGATATGTAGACAATTCTTTGATCATAGGGACATGTAAACAACCACAAGTCAAATATACAATTCTTTACTATCTTCAGAAAAGTTCATTAATACCTCTGCCTAGATTAGAAAATAGTTACTAGGCTCATTACTTTGATAGGGTCAACTTTAACTAGTACTGTAGTTCATAGGCAGACACCTATCTTCATTGTGTTGATGTAAGGGTCTTAATTTACTAAACCTTTGATTCAATGTTGATTTCATCCTATAATTTTAGTAACTGATTTTAGTTATAAAACTGAATTCACATCCATGTCAGTGTAGAATGGTAAATTTTAAACATCATTATTTAAAATTTGTCACCAGTTCTTGTTTTATCAGATAAAAATTGATAGGTATTCCTGTATGTTTTGCTGCTTTTACATTTAAAAAAAATGCCAGTACAAATAAGAAATTAAGAGCCTAGAAAATTTGGACTTCCTGGAACAGAACAAAATGTAATTGCAAACCAAAAACTATACAGAATAAACCTAAGACCTTGAAAGTATTTCTAATCTTGAGAAGAAAAACTGAGAACCTAATATCCATAGAGTCCCTTGGAAAGCCATTTATTCTAATTAATTATTCATTCATCAAACATTTGGTACCTCTTGAAGAACATGCTCTTGAGGAACTTCTCAAATGAGGAAACAGACAACTAAGAACAGTGGGATGAGTACTGTGATAGAGGTACGCAGAGGTTAGGGTGTGACGGAGGTATATACACAGAGATTTGTGAGCACACGCCATAGTGATATTCAAAATATTAATCACTACAGCATGGGAAACAATCAGTGAGAATGGACACAGGCTACAAGCAACAGGCATAACCGTCCCAGTGCACACTGGGACAGGTGAATATCAACCCTGAACATGGGAGGGGCTGCCTATTTTGTGCTGGGAACTGGAGTCAGGAAGACTTCCTGGAGGAGAGGAGATAAGGGCTGAGTTGAAACCTATCGGAGAAATGAGGGAGAACCAGATAATGGGAAGGATAGGTGGGGTTTTACCAACAAAGGGAACTTCACAGAGCCTCTTGTTTGTTGGTGTGGGGGGGAGGGTAGTGGGAGTCACAGAAGATCAGTTGCTCTATCTAAACTTCTTTACTCTTCCTATCACTCCTTTTATGCCCTCCATGTGGAAGACTAAGAGTTGTCTGATTCCTCCACATTTCCTCTGAATGTATTGATGGCGCTCTGTTCCATAACTTACTTGGGTATTCGATATCTATCATTTCAGGGTTTCAGCCAAAACTTTGATTTTATCATCTTGTTTTACATGTTTCAAAATGAGATTAGAGATCAGGGGAATGAATAGTAGAGAAGTAGGAGAGAACTACATATTTTAATTCACTGGGCATAGGTGAGTAGAGGAGGTAGAGAAATGAACATACCCAATCCACAGAATATGGCAGTGATTATACTGAGACGCTATTAATTCCAAGAAGTTTTAGTATTTGTTTTGTCAAATGACATTATTGTTTAGGACCTTTGTTTTCCCTTACAGATGTTGCTCCTGTCTCAGAATATTGCCCAACTGGAGGCCCAGGTGGAAAAGATTACAAAGGAAAAGATTTCAGCTGTTAATCAACTAGAGGAAATTCAAGGTCAGCTTGCCTCTCGGGAAATGGATGTCACAAAGGTAGAGAGAGAGATTTTAGTTTAATAGTTACTTAAGGAACTATTTTCTTAAAAAAAATTTTTTTTTCCTAATGTCCAAAGCTCTTATTGTTATCAGGAAGAAGTTTGGAGCAGAAAAGTTTTGTGATTTCAAGAATAATAAAAGGCTACCTAATGGTTACTCAGCAAACATTCATTTACTGTATGCAGGCCCTTAATGGGTATTGCATGTACAGAGATGAATTAGACACAAGTAATGTCCTCGAAGAACTTAAGGGTTAAGTGGCAGAGACAGACTTACAAATAAATAAGAGTTATATTACTTTAATTATTGAATATTTGATAAACCTTATTTTTCTAAATTTAGGAATGCCTTGTTTTTGCCATAGATAGGGTTGCTGTTTACCATAATTGCCAAGGAAACATATTTACAACTTAAAAGGTATGCTTAACATAAAAAATCTTCCACTTCCCATTGCTTTTCAGACCTGGTCATTAAAATAAAGACTCTAATACTACATGATCCTATTTTATACTTTGAAATACTACAATGTCTGTGCTGTGGGCGTCACTGGCTTGTGAATCAAGAACTAAAATGTTTAATGGTCTTTACTGGCAATGATTAATATGGAAGGTACATATTTTAAGAAATACTGGTAGTCCATCTAGATTTCCGTAGTTAATGCTTTAAAACTAAGAAACCAAATGTGGGCATGTGTAATGTAATAAATGAAATTAATTTATTTTTTACTGCTAAATACACAGGTGATTTGCTTAAAATACTCTTTCCATATTGCCTTCTGTTACTTGACGTATTTTCCTAAATTTTGACATATTTGTAATGCTGTTGTTGCTCTATAATTCAGTAATTAAAATTAATGTTTCCCCTTTTTCTTGAGTTTCTGTAATTGTCCATTTGCTTTGAAGCATTCATATTAGCTAATGTAGAAGTTTAAGAAGATCAAATTTGCCGATCAGCGTGATGTTTTTGTGTGAAGATGGGGTGGAAGTGAAGACATTAGTTCAGAAGGATGGAAATGCTTACCCTAGATTTGTGGGTGAAGCTATGATAAGACAATTTTCAGTTGATAACAGAGAGACAACTTACTGTTGAAATGTGGTACAGCAAAGAGAGTTCTGTGTCTCAAGAAGTATCTGAGGGCCGGGCGCGGTGGCTCAAGCCTGTAATCCCAGCACTTTGGGAGGCTGAGGCAGGTGGATCACGAGGTTAAGGGATCGAGACCATCCTGGTCAACATGGTGAAACCCCGTCTCTACTAAAAATACAAAAAATTAGCTGGGCGCGGTGGCGCGTGCCTGTAATCCCAGCTACTCAGGAGGCTGAGGCACGAAAATTGCCTGAACCCAGGAGGCGGAGGTTGCGGTGAGCCGAGATCGCGCCATTGCACTCCAGCCGGGGTAACAAAAGCGAAACTCCGTCTCAAAAAAAAGAAGTATCTGAAAGGACTTAAGCATCAGAAAAGTGATTAGACTAAACTGCCTTGAGGTGGTTTCCTCCATGGAGATAATACAGTTCTAGTTCAATTTAATGTGTTAATTGAATATTAAATGGAATTTGAGTTTTGTGGATAAACTTAGCAAATGCCAAACTGAAAGTAGGAAAGCAGGGAACTTTAGGAGTAAAATTAAGGGATGAAATAATTTTGAATAAGACCCAATGCTTAAACAGTTTTTACGTAATAAGTTCGTATTGGTGTTGGGTTTTAAACATCATAGCTGCATAATTGTGGTCTTCTGATATTATCAGCTGGGGGTTTTATTCCTTTTATTCCTAGATTTACATAGGACTGTTGAAGAATTGGGAAAGAAAATAAAGTATGGCTCCTCTAATTTTTTTCCTGTCACTCTGAATTTTTAACTTTATTTAGGTTTAGAATTAATAGCTTTTATACATTTATAATTTTTGAAATGGGAAGAGTAAACTCTCACACATTGAAGCCATTTGAATTTACAGTAGAATTTTTAATAACCTCATTATTGTTCTAGCTTTCTGAGGGCCACTAGGGAGGAAGCCTGTTGACTTTTTCTCCAGTGTTGTCACTATAGCTTTTAAATGTAGATTATTTTTAAAATTGCTTTTTAGGTTCTGTTTTATTTGTTTGGAGACAGGATCTTATTGTGTTGTGCAGGCTGGGGTAGCTATTCACAGGCACCAGCACAGCACTCCACAGTACTAAACTCCTGGGCTCAAGCCACCCTTCCCCCTCAGCCTCCAGAGGGACTGGGACTGCAGGCATGCGCTACCATGCCCAGCTTAAATGCGTATAGGTTTTATACCGTAGTATATTCTAATACCTCATTAATGATGAAACTGACTTATGAAGTTTTCAAAATCATCATTTTTAGAGAAATATCAAAATTGAAAAGTTTCAAGAAAGCATAACCATTAGATAATATATTACTTATAAGAGCCATATATTTGTAAATTAGAAGCAAACTTCGCAGACTTGTACATTAATTGAACTCTCTGTAGGTTCTCAGTTATCTCAAAAGGCCCATAATTTGCTTGTTTAGATTTATCTGCTAATTATACTTTCAAATATATGTCTGTGTCTGTAGCAGCCCTGGATTGGAAAAAATAAATAAAACAAAGTTCTTAGTGTCAAGTATAAAGGATAATATGCAACACTTTTAAGATGCTATGTATGTTCGTTATTGATGCTATATTACAATTATTTCATTTAAAAGCATATTTTTTCTTTTATATTGAAGGTTACAGTTATAAGTGCATAGTGTGCTTAGTTCCAGTCCATGTTGTTTTTGCCAGAAAAATCTTCCTTGACTTGAATACCTGGGATTGTGTATGAAAAGATGACATTATCTGCAAACCTTGCAGTAAATACTGGATACTACAGATATAAATATCAATAATATGTCTACTAGCAGAGAAAAATTTCTTTATACATTTCCTTTTTAAAGGGCATAAGTGATGAAGTCTTTAAAAGAAAACTTTATAATATAGAGTGAATATTTAACCATAACCATGTGAATGAATAATAACATAGCTTAACATTTTAACTACTAACTTTGCCTATTTAAAAAGTTAGATGATAGTGCATTTTGGTTGATAATATGCAGTTGAAACTGTTATTTTATATAAAATAATCTTGGGCACATTACTTAAATTCCTTACTTATGCATTTATTTAGCTGTACTTTGAAATTGTTAAAATCAATAATCCCTCATGTTGCTTCTGAATCTTAGCAGGCTACATTTGAATATAGCATTCTTAGAAAAGTTTAGTTGTATTTTATCTATATGACCTCTAGGGGGCACCAAAAGATTTAATTGCAAGCATTGCTTGGTAGATTCCAGCAGGTAATCATCCAGTTTTTACAATCTAACAGGTGTGTGGAGAAATGCGCTATCAGCTGAATAAAACCAACATGGAGAAAGACGAGGCAGAAAAGGAGCACAGAGAGTACAGAGCAAAAACTAACAGAGATCTTGAAATTAAAGATCAGGTAAGAGAGGACACATCATGATCGCAGCAATTGTAGATATAAGTAGCATTCTTTCTCAAGTTGATGTTGTTTTATTCCTGTTATTTATTTGTATCATTTCTAACTAATGGGACGATCCAGTTTATATTGTTAAGAAAATTTCTTTTATAGTTGCCTAAAATTATCACCTTTCACATGAAATGGTGAGAATACAACAGCATGCAAATAAAATTCCAATCTGACAGGTCATAAATATACATTTGGTTTTGTGTATCTATTACTTACAAAAGTAAAAAGAAATGTTCTAATGCACAGTTTGAACCTAAAATATACATACATAAAGTTCTTGAAAGATGCCAACTTGAATCCAATTTTAAATGAAAAAGTTTAAAATTCGTAAGATGAGATGAGTTGATATGTAAATATGTCAATCAAATTGATTGTTGGCAGAGTGAAACCAGTTTTAGCTAAGATAACCATGAATACGTTTGTTCACAAAGCCTAAATACAGTGACATTAGAAATGTTAGGCGATCAAAGCTGCATACTTCAATTTCAGTTTTGAACAGATGTTTTATGTTATATCTTTGTTGAGATGAAGTAGATACTCCAATTTTAGTTGACAACAGGGATAAAGTTTTTAGAGAGGCAGTTCTAATAGGCTGACTTTGGATTTTCTGTTTTTATGTTACAGTACAGGACTTTGAAGATTTTCATTATATTCAAGAAAGTAGGTTGTTTATTCAATTAAAATAATAAGACTGGATTCTTCATGTCAGTATTTTAAAGAAATTGTTTTAGAATTTAGAAGTAGGTCACTCCAAATACATTTTTTAAAAATATGGTTCTAGTTCGAGGTTTTTCATCATATTTTCCAACATATTTCCTCTTTTGAGCCAGTTAACTCTTTATGACAAATGATGCAAAGACAATTGGGAAAAGTATTGAAAATGAAAGCGATAACGAAGTTTAGTACAAAAAGCTTTTCAAGTCATAACGGAAATCCTTAGTGCTAAATTAAAATCCTGGCAACCAAAGTAAAATTCTGCTTTTGCACCACTATTTTTGGTGGTGTAATGGGTTTCAAATTTTCAGACTTTTCATTATTAACATGTGCAGATAATGAAACCTATTTTATTTCATCCAGTTGGGGGCGTGCCTGATAGTAGAATGGAAAATACTTTCTATCAGGGACTGAAGGCCTAGTCTACTAAGTTCATCACAGATAACTTTTCTTTCCTGATGTACTGTAATTTTTTTTAAAAGGAATCATATTGGCATACTGACTGGCATTATCATATGCCTTTTGTATTGTTCTACAGCACTCTGTCAGCATAATATTTTGGACTAACTGGAAAAATACATCAGGAGAGAGTTTCCGAGTTATTTAAAATTTCACTATAATGTTCTAGAGGAAAAAAACCCAGGAACAATAAAAGTATAATATCTATCACTTGTAAGTGAATAACTTGTTTATTAGAAGGATTTGCAGTATTAACTCTCATTTTAGTTAACCCATGATGGTATGAAGGCTGAAGTTGCAGGATTTTATAAGGAGCACTTTTCATTTGTAAACATTTTCTGATAATAGTGAAACAACAGTAGTTTTCATAATGACTTACAGTGATATGTTTTAAGATAGAGACGTGCCTTTTTAGGAGGTCACAGCTTTAGGAATAAAACCTCTCAACAGTTACAAGATGTTTGTGATGTGATGTGCTTGTTACCATTTTTTTTCCTGGACAGAATGTGAGGAAATCTTATAGGTACTCTTTTGAACTATTTTGTATTGAACAGACAGTTTCAGAAAAGAAAGTAGTGGTGTCTCATTCCATGGATGATTTGGAGTAGCAAAGCAGCAATTGTTCTTTGGTCTTTCAGCCATGACCTGACCTTCTGTCTGTAAGACCAAAGAACTACTTTGCTTGGCCACCATCTGCACTCAAGAGAGAAATTTACATTTAGCTTTTAAAAGCAGGGCATGTTGAACATTTATCTGAAATACTTACAATAATATAAAGTATATTCAAATTTTAAGTGTTGTGTATCTTACAATTCAGCATCACAAGAAGACTATCTGTAGGTTTGCAAGCAAGGTGTTCTTCATACTGCGGTCATTTTATGCTTACATATTTTAGTGAATCTGACCGCTTGATACATTTTTAAAGTAGGTGGGAAACTGTGAGATTGGAATGTGTGAGAACAAGAGCTTTTTTGATGTATACAAAATAGGGCAAATGGTTGACCACCAAAATAATTTTCCTGGTGACCTGAGCCTTGACTCTGGTATAATTAGAAGGAAAGGTCAGGAGAGTAACAATGGCTGTCTCTTCCACCCACTTTCTTCTTTTCTTCTTTACATTGTGTCAAGAACCGATGGGCGGATTATCCTTCCCATCAACTCCTTTGTATCTCTTCAGCTCAGAGAATTCCTTGTCAGCCTCAGAGGATGCTTCTTGCACCAGAAAAAAAAGGCATTTGGTATGGAGGAGAATGTGAAATATGCACTTTGATTTTTATTAGAAATTTTTTTAGGCAGTGGTTACGCACACACCCACACACACAAACACACAAACACACTTCATCAGGGGAATTTAAAAACATATATGAAGGTAAAGGGAATATTATAATGAATTTCACATTTCCATCACTTACACTCATCATTTTGCCAATCCTCTTCCACAATCCCATTCCATCAATCTCACTCTTTTTTCTCTCAACTTCTGTCCTCGTTGTTACCTTCATCTTCTTTGTCATGTTTTTTTCTGCTCCACTTTGTTCTCTTCAGTTTCTTCCTCTTCTCTTCTGTCATCTTCCTCTACTGTTTTTCTTCTTTTGAGAAGTATTTTAAATGGATCTCAGACATTATGTTATTTTACTCATAAATACCCATGTGTGTCTATGAAGGATATTTTTACACACTGTGTCATTATACCTAACAATGTTAACAATAATTCTTTAATATCAAATTGTACCCAGCCTATATTTACATTTATTTGTCTCAAAAATGTTTGCATTACAGTTGGTTTATTCAAATTAGGAAAACAAGTATGTTTTTATATGTTAGAATGATCTGGTATTACCCTTTTCAATAGGAAATAAATAGAACTCTTAGTAAAATTTCGCCTTTCTTTGTTGTTGTCTGTTAAATTTTGTATATAATGCTTTGATGGTGGTTTATCTTTATAAAATGCTTCATCCTCATTCTAAAGAAGTGTAAATTACTCCTGTAGTGAACTGTTTGAGGGAGTGGCTACCATACAGCATGCCTGATAATCATATCCCAAAAGGAGCTTCAGAGAATCCGAAACCCAAAATACGTAATCGATTTCAGAGCCTTGTATTTGAGATTTAGGAATGTTACAGGAAGCCCTAGCATTACAAGGATTAGCTGACCTGAAATGAGTGACGTGTAGATAGAATTTTTTGTCGACTTCCCTTTCGGTAAATGAATCTCAGAAGATGATTCTTTACAGCCTCCAACCTTTGTTTAGGGCCCAGTGCAAAGTGAAAATACAGGACCATTTTGTTCAGAAAGGAGGAAAGAAGTGACATTAAAAACAACCAAAATTGAAAACGCTTTCCTTTCTTCTTCAGTCTCTCTCTTTGCCCCTCCTCCCAGACCAACCCAGACTGGACATGCCATATTTTTTTGCTATTTGATGTTAGGCTTCTTCAGCATAGGGATGATATTTATGCGGGACTGCAGACCCCACAGGTGCCCCATGAGCTTCTGGATTCTTCCTTCTTCTAGCCACAGGACCTACACCATGCCCCAGCGTGGAGCAGGGAGGTGATTCTCCCCTAACCTAAGGAGGTCAGACAGGTGACCCCTGGGAGACTGCAGTCTCCATACTGGAACCTATTTGCTGTCTGGATCAGGGGTGGGGAAGAGGCTCTGCATGGAATCCAGAGTGTGCTGTGGTGCTGCCAGCTTGGGGCAGGAACTAGTACCTCCTTGTCCTGCTCTAAGATGCCAGGGATGGGCATACTTGATTCAGTCCTCTCTAAACACACATTCAGGATCCTACCAGAGGCAAAAGACACACACTTCTCCCAGTGACATGCCCTGGTTCACCTGGGGTGGAGGGCAGTAACAGCAGCAGGGCAGGGTTGGCACTGAAGAAGCTGGAGAGGAATATATTTCTGAGAACTGCCCAGGGCTGCAATGAGGCAGTGGAAAGATGAGACCACATGTAGGAGTTCAGTCTCCATTGTCCCATCAGAGTACACCTACAAAACACAATTCTAAGATAAAATTGCTAATCATTTCAAAACATTGATCATAGAGTCTGAAACTGCAAGTATAAGGACCCTTCCAAACAGCACATGTGTGACTGCACTGATCATGTGCCCATGAAACTGCCATGACGACGGGAATGGGCAAATGAGATTTCGCATGCTAATATATGTGTATATATCCCCACTTACATATACAGACAAATATGCATATTCAGTATGCTCATGTACCCAGTATTCATAAGAAAGCATTAGCCAACTACAGCGCATAGGTCAAATCTGGCCTGCTGTCTATGTTATAAATAAAGTTTTATTAGAACTCAGCCATACCTACTTGTCTACATATTGCCTTATTGCTACTTCCTGTTACCACAGCAGAGCTGAGGAGTTGTGATAGAGACCATGGAGCACACAAAGCTAAAATATTTGCTGTCTGAACCTTTACAGAAAAAGTCGCCAGTCCCTACCTTGAATATAGAAACACAACTGTATTTTTAAGTTTCCTCTGCTTTCCTAGAATGCTGAGCTTTGAGTTTGAAGACCCGTGTATCTTAAATAGCAATGGTTTTGGAGTATTTTGCAGTACAACAAATGTGTCACATCTTTGGTCTCTTAAAAATCTAATGGCCTTACCAAGTAAGCATATCACTGGTGATCATGGCATTCTCTTACTAGTAGCATGTGGCTTGCTAGTGGCTCAGATGGGAGCATAAGTGCAGTATTATTTTATATTTACAATTTTGTGTTTAGGTTGGTTCCAATATTATTACTCAGAGATAAGAA